TTCTCTGTGTAGCCCTGGCTATCCTGGAACTCACTCTGTAGACCAGGCTGGCCTCGAGCTTTCTTTTCTTGTTTTTTGTTTGTTTGTTTTGTTTTGTTTGTTTTCTGTTTGTTTGTTTTTGTTTTTCAAGACAGAGTTTCTCTGTGTAGCTTTAGAGCCTTTCCTGGAACTCATTCTGTAGCCCAGGCTGGCCTCGAACTCACAGAGATCCACCTGCCTCTGCCTCCTGAGTGCTGGGATTGTTTTCTGTTTTGCTTGTTTTGAGACAGGGCCTCTCTCTGTAGCCTTGGCTGTCCTAGAATTCACTATATAGACTAGGCTACATCTGCCTCCCAAGTGCTGGAATTAAAGGTGTGGGCCACTACATCCGGCTATCAGTCTGCTTTTTTGTTTTCTTTTTGTTTGTTTGTTTGTTTGTTTGTTTTTTTTTGTTTTTTTTTTTTTTTGTTTTTTTTTGGTTTTTCGAGACAGGGTTTCTCTGTGTAGCTTTGCGCCTTTCCTGGAGCTCACTTGGTAGCCCAGGCTGGCCTCGAACTCACAGAGATCCGCCTGGCTCTGCCTCCCGAGTGCTGGGATTAAAGGCGTGCGCCACCACCGCCCGGCTTTGTTTGTTTGTTTTTAAGACAGGGTTTCTCTGTGCAACAGCCCTGGCTGTTCTGGAACTGGCTCTGTAGATCAGGTTGGCCTTGAGCTCAGAGATCTGCCTGCTTCTCTGCCTCTTGAGTGCTGGGATTAAGCCTTGCATCACCACTGCCTGGCCAGTCAGTTTTCTTACACCGCCCCAACCACGGTCCAGGGGTGGCACCATCCAGAGTGGGCTGGGCCCTCCTACATCAATCATTAATCAAGAAAATGCAGACGGGGCTACAGGCACTGATGGCAGTGTTTTCTCCACTAAGGCTCCTCTTCCCGATGACTCTAGCTTGTGTCAAGCTGGCAAAGAACAAACGGGGCACATACCTACACACTGCCATGTAAGAATGGCAGAGGAAATACTAAGTCTTTGTTTTTTGACTCAAATCACTATGTTTTTTTTTATAAGAGTAAAAATAATTGTACATTAAAACCACAGCATTTCATTAACAATCAGTAATCTTGAATTACAGCTGAAGTGTTGTAGGTAATCTTCATTGGCAGTGTGTACATGGTGTGGCAGCAGGCACAGTGCAAAGTATGCATGTTGTGAGCTCACAGCCAGGGCCGAAGTGACTTTTCAGGGTGCAACATGGGCAAGGGCTGCCAGACACACCTTAGAGATGTTGGAATTTGGATACATCTTTAGTTGTTGCATATTCAGAAACTTTATATTGTTGCCACCCACATCTAGTTACACAAATGTATTCGTCAGGGTTCTCCAGAGGACCAGAACCAATAGGGTGTATCTCCCCCCAACTCCCACCCCACGTGTGTGTGTGTGTGTGTTTGTGTGCGTGTGCGTGTGCGTGTGTGTGTGTGTGTGTGTGTGTGTGTGTGTATGAGATTTATTCGAGTGGCTTACAGGCTGTGGCCCATCTAGTCCAACAATGGCTGTCTACTAACAAAGTCCAAGAATCCAATAGGTATTCAGTCCATGACGCTGGATGTCAGTTGGTCTTCAGTGTACGTTGGGAATCCCAGCGTAGGCTCTAATGTGGGTGACAGAAAGCCTGTGCAGCAGGATCCGTGAGAATGAGGGCAAGTGAGCAGAAAGCAAAAGCTTCCTTCTTCCATGGCCTTTACATCGGCCGCCACGAGAAGATGTGGCCAGATTTAGGGTGGGTCTTCCTACCTCAGAGGATCCAGTTAACTAAAAATCCCTCACAGCTGTGCCCAGCTGCTTGGGTTTTCAGTTCATTCCAGCTGCAGCCGTGTTGACAACTAAGAATAGCCATCACATACCACCCAGTTTAAGAACGGAATACTTGCCATTGTGCTCCTGAGTGGTGGGAGCTCCCTGAGAGCTGAGTGAGGGTTGTGGATTGAGGTAGAAATAGAGACCATTTTTATTTCTATCACATGACGTAAGAGTTCTGTATTAAAATCCTACTATAGTCAGGCGGCGCAAGCCTTTAATCCCCGCACTCGGGAGGCAGAGGCAGGTGGATCTCTGTGAGTTCCAGGCCAGCCTGGTCTACAGAGTGAGTTCCAGGACAGCCAGGGCTACACAAAGAAACCCTGTCTCGAAAAAACAAAACAAAACAAAAAACAACTGAGTGAGGCTGGGCAGGGTGGCACGGGCCTGTGGTTCCATGTAATTGTGGGACGGAAGCAAGAGAATTGTTTGAGGCCAGGAGTTCAAAGTCAGCTTGAGCAACTCAGCTGACTTTGTCTCAAAAAAAAAAAAAGTTGCTTCTTTAGGGGCTTGTTCTACTAAGATGGGTGGGCAGTGATGGGTAGATAATAAAGGTAGCTACAGGGCAGGGTCTAAGGAGAGGAACTGTGGAAGGTTCTGGAGGTGGCACCAGGCTGCTCTTCTCTGCCCTGATAGTCTTTCTTGGAATGTAGTAGGATTGTTGGTTTGGGTTTGGTTTTTTGAGACAGGATTTCTCTGCACAGCCCTGGCTGTCCTAGAACTCGCTCTCTAGACCAGGTTGGCCTCGAAATGATCGCCTCTTCGCCACACACTAGTTTGAAGCAAGTTAGGGCTGCTAAGGTAGGATGGATGGCTGGGTGGATGGATGGATGAACAAATGAGGTAGGGTCTGTGGGTGCCTATCAAAGCTAGGACGGATCCCAGCCTCACCCAGGCATTGTCTCAGTTGGAGACTCTAGGTGGCGCTACCAGGGACCACCTGAAAGGGGAAGGCTGGGGTGACCAGGTTCCCTGAGAGCAAGGGTGGTCCTGGGGCGGACGCCCAGGCCTGGACCCTGCCTGTGCCCTCATCTGCCACTTCAGAATCCAGGGCGCTCAACAAAGACCAGGTGAAATTTAATCTCTGCTGCGTATCTGGCAGGCAGTAGATGCTAGGGAAATGTTTGACAAACGGGTGACTCTGCCGAGGGTTCCTCCCCCTGGTACCGCGAGCGACGTCACTAGACCAAGGGTGTTATCTTTTCGCTTCAGGACTTTGGTGAGCCAGGGAACGCCTCGGGCGGGGCAAGCCTGGGACTCAAGGGCGTGGTCTACTGGTTGGGGGCGGGGTCCTGGACAAGAGGGTGGAGCCTAGGCCTGAAGGACCACAAAATGGGGCGGGGCCTACAGTCGGGGGCAGAGCCTGGAGCCCGAGGGCGGGGCGACCTCGTAGGGAAGCCTGGCTGCCCTAGGGAGTTTGGGTGCCTTTGCGCGCCATCAAGGAGAGGCTGCGGTGGGGTCAGGGCGCGGATGCTGGAAGTTCACATCCCCTCGGTGGGGCCCGAGGCCGAAGAGCCCAGGCAGAGTCCAGAGAAAGGCCACATGGTGAGCAATGGATGGAGGGTGCGCGTGGGGATCCGCGGGAATATCCCCTCGACGAGCGCAAAGGGGACCCAGCATTCCGGGCTAGGACGTCCATCTCAAAGGTTCGGGGTTACTGGCTTTGCCAGTCCCTCAGATGATGGTCTGGGCTCTTGAGGGATCTCGTGGAGCAGAGGGGCGGGCCCGTCAGCCTTTTCTTTCAGGTGTATGTGGGGTGCGGGAGGGGTTTCCCTGAGCGGCCGCACGCCAACTCGTCTTTGTGCCTTTCGAACGCCAGAAAGTGGGTGCGTCTCGCGGCGCGGGTCCTGCTGCATCATTTGGACCCGCCGCCCGCACTCCTCCGCCCGCTAGGTGTTCCAAGTGGAGGTGCTGTACAGTGGACGCAGACACACCGTGCCGAGGCGCTACAGCGAGTTCCACGCTCTACACAAGCGGGTGAGGTGGCGTGGACTGCCCATCAGTCTGTCTCCAAGCCAGTCCCCTGGGTGGCAAACGAAAGGGCTCCGGTTCCAGCTTCTGGTTAGCCACCCCCATTACCGTCCCAGTCCCAGGAGGGTGCAGATCATGGGCAACTACCCAAGGACTGCAGGGCCCCTCTCGGGGAGGACGCAGTGGCTAGATCCCAGCTCAGACTGACCTTGTCTGCGTGCGTCCTTTCCACTTTCGGGCATGTCACGTCTGTCCCAACCACCTTTCACCAGCAGACCCAGGTCAGAGCTTAAAGGCACAGAGGGAGGACTGGAGAGAGGTCTCAGCTAGGTGGAATGGGCTCAAGGGCTTTGCTGGGATCTCACCTCGGTAACCGATGACAGATCAAGAAACGGTACAAAGTGCCTGACTTTCCCTCAAAACGCCTGCCCAACTGGAGGACCAGAGGACTGGAACAGCGCCGGCAGGGCTTGGAGACCTATATCCAGGTGTGCACAGGTCACCCGGTTGTCCCTAGCCTCAGGGACTGGGGTGACCCAGAGATGTGTGTGTGTGTGTGTGTGTTGTTGACTTGGTTGTTATTCACCATTCCAAGCTCTGTTTTTCCAAACAATAGTGAGTGTGAACTTTTCTACCTGGATTATTTAAAGTTTTGAATAACCCAACAGGTAGACACTTGAAGATCCTTCAGCCCTGGGGTAAGATTCTGTGTTATCTTCATGAGGTGTGTGTGGACTCATTCTGCCAACAGTGATAGGCATTATTGAACTAGCCTGCCCACTTTAAGGGGGCAGTCTTTGCAGTCCATACTGGGTCGTGAGCTTGGTCTGATAATGCTTGCCTCCACTGCCTTAAATTTCTTATTAATTTTGGAACAAGGGTCCTCAAATTTTTGTTTACAACGGATTGTATTGTGTAATAATTAGTAGCTGTATCTGATTCCAGTCATCTTCTGTCTTCCTCCCTAGGGTATCCTATACCTGAATCAGGATGTGCCCAAGGAGCTATTGGAATTCCTGAGACTTAGACACTTCCCCACAGACTCCAAGGCCAGCAGCTGGAGGCAAGGATGACCCCTGCTGGGGCATGACAAGGACTCTTTCACAAGCAGCTCGGAAAGGGTCCTGAAGGACAAGCTTTCTCCCTTTTCAAATGCTGGGCCCTGGCCTGGTTCTGATACATAGCCTCCCTTACCAACTTTCTTGACCTTGGTGGAGGGGCTGGGTTTTGAACAGCTTTGATGACCCCAGCCGCCTCCACCTCCGGAACTGGGCTTATTACAAAATAGAAGCAAGTCCCCTGGGCTATTCTGTGTCTCCACACCCCCTCACTTCCCCTGGGTACCCTTAAGCAGTTTACAGTGAGTGTTTCTCTTCTTTCCAGCACCCTGAGGGAATTCCTGCCTAGCGACACCAGGCAAGTCCAAGTCCTGCCCTAAGTGCCTGCTGCCCCCTGGTGGCTACATGCGAGGAGGCAGGCCAGCAACCTGTCTTCTGGTTCCTTCCTTTGTGGGTCCCTGCTGACTTTGGTCCTTAGTGTCCATCCCATGTGCGTCTGTGCGCTGCCACATCTCCACTCTCATGGTTCACAACTCTTTCCTCCTCACAGCTCACAGCTGCACCACAGACCCGTCATTGGCTTCTGTATGGACCCCTACATTTACAGCCCTTCCCCAGGTGAGGCACATCAGCACCTCCCTCCTACTGTCCTTTGGGGGCCACACTGTGGCTCCTGTAACCTGCTTTGTAACTTACTTCATAGAAACTATATGCTATACAAGCCTACTTACTTCAAGCTATACAGTTGGTTCACCCGGTCTCTGCCCGCTGGTGGCCTGTCTTCAAAAGCTAATGGGGACGGAATGTGGGCTGGGCAAAGCAAACAGTGCCTCCCTTTGGGTAGAGAGCTGAGTCTGGGCAGCTCAAGAGTGCTGCACGCCCAAGGCCTAATGTATGCTAACTCCGTTTCACTTTTTCTCCCACAGCACCTCTCCCGGAAGTGGTGGTGGACGGTGTACTCCAGGGCCTCTATGGCTTCAGCACTAGCCCAGCCGAAGGCTAACCGTCATCCTGCTCCATCGCCAATGTCCTGACTAGCCCAGTCTTTGGGTCACTTGTCAGGACAGTTATGTGCCTCAGTCCTAGGAGTTCCATATGAGAAACTGGGTCTTCCCTTGGACTGGTCTCAGGGTGTAACTAGCTGAGGCTCAGGTGTGCCCAACCCCACTCAAGGCTCTGAGCTCGGCTTGCACTGACAGCTGCAGTTGGTAGACCTCAAGACTCTTCCAAGTCAAGATCAAGAAAAAAGCATAAAGTCATTCCAGACACAGGCTGAGAAGATTCAGGTGTATTTCCTAGCCCAGCTTGGCAGGTGGCAGAAGCTACCATGAGGCTCAGTAGCTGGCTAGCCTGTGCCTGATGATTAGTGGGTACCACCTAGGCACATGCTTAGGCAGGAGCCCAAGGAAGGGGCATGCATCTATCGCCACGTAAGAGTCCTAGACATGCTGGGATGTACACTCGGGACAGGTGCTACAGACACAGCCCACACCTAAGTTATTAAAAAAAAGAAAACCCACTTTTTTTATTGATCAGAATTGATAATTTGATATAAAAACCAGGCCTGTGGAATGTGAGGGGTGTGAGTCCACCCCCTCTGATGGAAGCATTGGGGCCGAGTGGCATGGGGCCTGTGACTGGCTACCTTCACCCCTGGGGGGTGGTAATGGGACCTGCAGTACAGCCACTTGGAGGGATGGGGTCCCTGAGACTCTACTCCTTGGCAATGGCAAAGGGCTTCTCCACTTCAATCTTGCCACAGTCTGCAATGATCACATCCTTCAGGGGCTTGTCCCGACTGTCTGTCTTGGTGCTCTCCACTTTCCTCACTACATCCTAGAAAAGAAAGGCAGGAAAGGAGGAGTGGGCAGGGTGGAGGTCGAGACACACACACACACACACACACACACACACACACACACACACACACACACACACGCGGATGTGCGCGCCTGGGAGTCAGCCCCAAGTGAGTGGCTTAGAAGGGTTGAGACCCTCATGAGATGAACACAGAAACCCAAGGAACTGAAGGCCAGGGTGAATGCAGAGCATGATTAGCTGACCCAGTACCGCTCAGAGTGTCTGAAAATCCCTGATTCAGTGAACGACTGAACACAGGTCCTGGCAGCTGGACAAACTCAACAAGGTCTTCTGGACAGGCTGTCTGGGGTCTGGGAGGGCTTAGGACCTTGCGGCAATGGAAATGAAGGCTGAGTATCATGTATTTTCTTCTTTTTTCCTGATTGTGGTGTTGGGGGCTGAACCCAGGGCCTTATGCGTGCTGGGTTAAGCACTCTCTCATGCAGCCACAGTCACATACATGGACAGTCTGAAATGTGGTCTCACATTGTCCAGCCTGGCCTTGGACTTCTGAGTTCAAGTGATCCCCTTGCCTCAGCCTCCCCAACAGCTAGGACCAAGGCACTCGGTCAGGCTGTTTGTTCTTACACCCCCGGCCCTATGCCAGGCTGTGTCTGTGACTCAGGTGCCTGTGGGGAAGCTTTCCTACTTGAAGTCCTTGCCTATTCCAGCTGGATCCTTGGTAAGGACTAGCGGGGTTCAGCCCTCACTTTTAAACTTACCATGCCCTCTAGAACTTTGCCAAAAACCACATGTTTGCCATCCAGCCAGGATGTCTTGACGGTAGTTATGAAGAACTGGGAGCCATTGGTGTCCTTGCCCGCATTGGCCATGCTCACCCACCCAGGCCCGTAATGCTTCAGCTTGAAGTTCTCATCTGGGAAGCGCTCACCATAGATGCTCTTCCCTGGGGAGAGAATCAGTAGGTCAGGGAGTTGAGCCAAGGTGGGCTGAACCACAACAGATGCCCGGGTGAGGATCTATGGGACTCAGACTGTCCTGTCAGGCCAGGCGTGACTGGCAAACAAGGACCTGAAAACAGCCTTCCTATCTTCTACCCAAGCCATCGGAAACTAGACCACCTGGGGTACGAGGTCAGGCTGACTTGGGCGATGTACTATGAGTAGTTTTATGACTGTCATGGGACATAATATCTATCCTTGGCTGTGTCCTGAGGCCTATAGGGAGGGACTTTGCAAAAGAGATGCCTTGGTGCTATGCAGGATGCTGGGAGTGTGGAACCCTTCAGAAAAAAAAGGGCTGCTACAGCCAACCAGATTGCCTTTCCAGAGTCACAAGACAGGTGCAGCTGCAGAGCAGAAGAGAAGATGGGGTCAGCTGGGGAAGGAAAAGCAGGACTCAGGGCCGTTCTCTGGTTTCTTAAAAGCCAAGAGCCTCTTATCAAGACGAGCATAAAATAAAAAATGCTTATAAATAAGTGTCATCTGTGTGTGGGGTATGGGTCTGGGGCCATGACAGTAAGCACAGAGCTCCACACCCTTTCCAAGATCCTGTCTGCAAAGTTGGTTTCCCCATCAATGGACTGATGGGCCTGGGAAAAGTAGCATGGAAGCAGCATCTCTTCTTTTCTTTCTTTTTTTTTTTTGGTTTTCGAGACAGGGTTTCTCTGTGTAGTTTTGCGCCTTTCCTGGATCTCTCTCTGTAGACCAGGCTGGCCTCGAACTCAGAGATCTGCCTGGCTCTGCCTCCCGAGTGGTGGGATTAAAGGCGTGCGCCACCACTGCCTGGCGAAAGCAACATCTTCTAAGGCTGCTGAGACGGCATGCACGTAAGGGAACTTGCTGCCAGGCATGGAACCAACTCCTGTAAGTTGTTCTGACTTTAACATGCATGCAATGGAATGTGCTGGCCAGCCCCAGATACATGCATAGAAAAGGCCAGCTGTGACAGAGAATGAATGACACTAACCCCAGCACTTAGAAGACAGAGCTCTAGGAGTTCCAGGCCAACCAAGGCACACAGTCACTTTCTTTGGCTCAATGCTCTCCACTTCACCTGCATGCTAACCTTAGCTCTCAGCACATCTGTGTTCATCACACAGCTCCTCAGGATGCCCCAGGTTAGGACCTACCCTGGCCCGAGACTGACAAGGGAGATACAGTTGACTGTGCAGCCACTGGGGATGCAGAGAAGCAAGACTAGATTAGGTGGCAGGGTGGAAGTGAGGTGGCCTATTTATTTCCTGCAGTGATTCCTGGCTGTACACTGCTAACGCTTCCTATTTGAAAAACTTCCTTGGAAATCTTAGTCAACCATGGGATTTCAACTGCTCCTATTTCAATCACTTCCTCAAGACACAAGGAGCTCCCAAGTCTCAAGAAATAAAAAATTTGAAGAAATTTATACTTTAACCTTTATGATGGTAAACATAAACCACATTTAATCTTCTATCCCAGAACTTCCATCCAGCTGCCTTGCAAACAGTTAAGCTTCAAGCCCACCAATTTTTTTTTTCTCCGAGACAAGGTTTCTCTGTGTAGCCCTGTCTGTCCTGGAACTTGCTCTGTAGACCAGGCTGGCCTTGAACTCAGTCAGATCTGCCTGCCTCTGCCTTCCCAGTGTTGAGAATAAGTTTGCGTCACCACACCCAGCTTTTTTTAAGTTTAAGTGTATGTGGGTGTCTGGCCTACATGTATGTCTTTGTGCCACACCTGGGCCTGAGGAGACAAGAAGAGGCTGTCAGATTCCCTGGAATTGGAATTATAAACAGCTGTGAGTCACCAGGTGGGAACTGAACCCAGGTCTCTGCAAGAGCTGCCAGTGCTCTTAACCACTGAGTCACCTCTCCAGCCCCTGGTGGTTGATTTTTGAGACAAGTTCTCATGTTGACTGGGTTGTCCTTAAAGTTATCCTGGAACCTCCTGCCTTAACCTCCTAAGTGCTGGGGTTCCAGGCACATACCACTACAATTGCCTTGAGTTCTTCACGTTTATTTACTTTAGTGTGTGTATGTGTACTGGCGCACACGCTCATGCCACAGAGCATGCGTGCAGTCAGAGGACACCTTGCAGAAGTCGGTTCTCTTCTTCCAATGTCTGAGACCCAGGAATCAAACACAGGTCACTAGGCTTGGCAGCAATTACCTTTATCCACCTCACTGGCCTTTTTAATTTATATATTTATGCGCATATATGTAATACAAGCAGCAGGGTGTGTGGTACAAGCTACAGACGTGTATCAATGGTGGGCACCTGGAAGAGAACACAGCCTGCCTGACCCCACCTCCCTCTCCTTTGCACTGGGTTCTCTTTTCAAAGAAGGGTGCAGCTAATCTCCATGCAAGAGAGAGGCCGGCCTCCACAGCAGGCAAAAGAAGACACTTGGTTTAACGGGGGCGGCCTGGCCACCCCACCATGGGCACTACAATGTCAAGGCTCCTCTGTTCAGAGGATCTGAGGTTACCTCCTGTGCCATCTCCCCTGGTGAAGTCTCCACCCTGGATCATGAAGTCCTTGATGACACGATGGAACTTGCTGTTTTTATAGCCAAATCCTTTCTGGAAAAAGGGATGAGAGACAAGGAGGTAGCAGATGTCAAACTGTCCCCGCAGACATGCACCTACAGCGCTTCCGGATATAGACTTGGCATTTAATGTACTGAGTGACCAGCTACTGCAGGCCAAACACAAAGCATGCACGTCTGGAAAAGACCACATCCCTAGCCTCCACCCTTACGCAATTCCTGAAGGATGTAACCCAAGGTCCCATACTTTTTTTCCCTTCTCTGTTCTTCTCGTCCTAAGAAGAAGTGCAAGGTCTGGGATACATCTCAGCTGGCATAGTGTTTGTCCCAGCACGAACGCCCTCCTGGGCTCTACCCTGAATACTATATGAACTGAGCATGGTGTGCACACCTGTGATCCCAGCACTCAGGAGGTAGGGGCAGGCCTATCAGAAGCTCAAGATCACCCCCGGCTACACATCAGGTTCAAGATCAGCCAGAGGCTACACAAGACTCTCAGGAAAAACACAACAAAATGAGCAAAGACGTTAAAAATAGATAGAATATATATTTCCTTAAAAGTCTATGGTATGTCAGGCGGCGGTGGCGCATACCTTTAGTCCCAGCAAACAAACAAAAAAACCCACAAAAAGTCTGTGCCATATTCTAGGATCAAGTCCTTTGGACCCTTTCTTCTCCTTTTTAAAATTTGAGCCGGGCAGAGGTGGCGCACGCCTTTAATCCCAGCACTTTCTGGAGGCAGAGGCAGGTGGGTCTCTGTGAGTTTGAGGCCAGCCTGGTCTACAGAGCGAGATCCAGAACAGGCTCCAAAGCCTCACAGAGAAACCCTGTCTCAAAAAGCAAAACAAAACAAAAGGACAGCTCTTATTTTATTCCCACAGCAGTCACATCATGTGGACTAAGAACATTCAAATAAAATCAGATGTTAAAGATTAGTCTTCACACATTATAGCCAAACAATGACATGTTGGTCTAAGTTCTCTCCACCAGAAAACCACATCACCACCTCAGCAGTCATGGAACCATTTGGCACAGCTTCCTTAACTGTGAAACTACAAGTTTTAGCACTTTGGATTATTTTTGTGTATGTCCTGTGAATAGTTGTACAAAGCAGCAGGGGTTGGATCTTTGTATAATGCCAAAATCTGGGCCACGGAGGCTTTGAGTAATTCAGCAGTACCAGGGCCTTCTCCAAAAGTTAGGGACAAACTGGACCCCTTTATCCTTAATATGCAAAAATATTTGGTCCTCAGGGAAGCCAGTTAGTGAAGTCAGTGTAAGCCACTGCTGCAGACGGGTCACACACTGCAGTCCCTCCTACTTCCATCCCTGGTATGTGGAGTTGCTTACCTCTGTCCCAGCCACTTACCTCTCCTGTAGCTAAGGCTACAAAATTATCCACTGTTTTTGGAACGGTCTTCCCAAAGAGTCCAAAGGTCACTCGGCCTACAGGTTCATCTCCAATTCGGAGATCAAAGAATACCTAAGGAAAATGAACAAATGCAAGCTTAGCCTTTTAAAGGGTCCTTGGTAGATTAGGAAGGGCCCAAGAAATTACCCTGATGAGAGAGAGCTGTGGCTAAAGCCCTAAAGCTGTGGCTGAGTCTGATTTTGGCAGAGGCAAAAACCTCTGTACAAACCAAATGTAAAGGCTGGACAAATGACTCAGTTGTGAACAGCATCTGCTGCTTTCCCAGAAGACATAGCTTCTGTTCTCAGCACCCAGATGGTGGCTCACAATCATCTGTACACTGTAAAGCTCTAGACTTCCCCAACTCCATATTAGGGACTGATGAAACGGCCTTGCCCACTATAGGCAGGCAAGTGCTCTACCACCGAGCTAATAACCCCCCAATAGTTAATATTCTGAGACAGGGTCTTGCTAGATTGTAATCCTCCCAAGTGTCTGGGATTACAGACATAAGCCACAACACTTGACTTGCTGCATTAATCACCTCCTATCCTCACCCCACCAAGAGAAATGATTCCAGGCTGGCCAATGCCTTAGTGGGTAAATGTGGTTGCAGCCAAGCCTGAAGTCCCGCGAGACCCACATAATGGATAGAGAGAATCCACTCCCGCAAGTTGTCTTCTGACCTTTACAGTTACACTGTGGCTCGTATAAGTCCCTCTCCCCAGCAAGTAAATTATGTAACATTCTTAAGAAAGTTTACGTTCTCAGACTACAAAATAGCAATCTGTGCTCTTACAATGACTGTAGATGACAGAAACTGCCATTAAAAGAGGAAAATACATAAAGAGATCACTATGCTTGCAAGTTTAACTCTATTTACTGTGCGTGCTACAAAGTGTCCACAGTAAAAGAAGGGTATTGCAGGGTATGTGCAAAGGGCTGAGGTTGTTGGCACTGGCCGCAGCTGAGCATCCTCGGTCAGGGCGGAGGCTGGGGGAGTCCAGGTCATTCTTTAGTTTGAGTGGGTAGGGCGAGCCTGGCTCCAAGAGGTCATAGCCGACCCAAGGATGGGCTGAACCAGGACAAGGACGCTCAGGTCGGAACTACTGAGCCAGACCCGCTCAGGCCGGGGCCGGACCGCAGGCAGCGGAAGACAGGCCTCGCCGGGAGAGGAGATCCCAGACCTTGACTGTGACTTTGGGTCCCTTCTTCTTATCGTTGGCCACGGAGGGTCCCGGCAGCAAAAGGAAGACGACGGAGCCCACGATGAGGGCGGCGGCGAAGAGCACCTTCATATTGCGCTCCGAGAGGCGCAGCATCCACCGACAGCACAGAGAGCAGTCGCGGGAGCCCGGACCGGAAGAGGGTGTGGACACGCGGTGTGTGCGCGTTGCCGCCGGGGCTCGGGGGTGGACCTGGGGCTGCGGGAGGCCTCGCAGCGCGAGGAGCGCGCCACGTTCCCCCTGCGCTGCAACGCCGAGTGGTAGGCGCCGCCGCGGGCGGGGCTGTGGGTGGCTGCCACGTTACAGGCCTCTGATTGGA